CATTTGGTGAGGGTGTTAAGGCGATGGTACCTTTCTTGCCGTCTCCATGAGCAGCGATGTGTACAACTGACACTCCTTCTCTCAGTCTCTCAAGGACAGCAGCTTTGGTTGCTCTCTCTCGTAAGAGTGTCTGCCCACCAAGAACTCTGGAAACTGTCACTGCTTCGACGTATGAGAACAGCAAAGGAGGGAATTCTTTTTCTTTGCCATCAAACATAACTTTACCAACTGATGGATCTCCTACAATTAGTGCGCTGTTTTTGCTCTCAAAATCTTCAGGTCGATCGTTCAATATCTTCAGGGTAGAAATAGAAGGAGCAATCCTGATTTGCTTGGCTTCTAACAAGTAAAGTCCCGTCTCTGGATCCCGTAGAGCTGCGAACGGTACCTTAAACAATGGACCATCAGGAATGAAGACAACTTCGTCTGTTTTTATGTCAGAAATTACATTCTGGATCAGCTTGCTGTAAAGAAATTCAAGGGCACTGGTGAAGCTGCTTTCGTGACAGGTTTCTGGTTGGTTTTCGTCTAGTGTATGCAACGTTCGCAAATCTTTATTTTCAGTAGCATGTTCTCTAAAATCATCTCTATCTTTCTTTGCATCATCAGTTTCTGTGTTGTTGCTAAGTGATCTGTCTTCACAGTCCATTAGGCGTACCTTCATTTCACTGCAAGCCCATTCAATGAATTTTTCCATATCATCAAAAGTGAAGTTCGGCTGAATGTGAAGAAGTTTCTCTTCATTCTCACAAGGCACCACAAAAGTGCACAAGTCTTCTATGAATTGGTATCTAAAAGCTGAATACTGTACGATTGTACATTGACTTTTGGAGACCAAAGATCGAATGTCGCTATAACGAATTTGTTTTTCTTGGATGTCATGATCCATGTGATAGTTCATAATCAGCTGAGTCTTCAGAGCTCGTGCACGATAACAGTCAACTGTCTCCAGGGCTTCAATGTTTTGATTGGTACGTACAAGTATGGCGGTCAAAAGCTCATAGTACTGAATGTAGTTGYCAACGATAGCAATTTGGTATTCTTCATTTGTACGTTGTAGATCAAACACTTTTTCGAAACATTCCACAGATTTTCTAGCAYAGTTTTCAGCATTTGCTAACTCAACACGAGCAAAGTGAATCMAGCCAATCATATGTTGACATTTCGATTCAAATTCCGTTTCTCCGTTCATTTCTGTTTCTTCGCAGATTTCTTGATAAAGACTCAACGCTGTATCGAATCGAAGTAAAAGAAAGTTCATCCGTGCTATGTCCATCCTGATATTGTCAGAAAATAACTTACCATAAAAATTAMTTTCGATTGAAGTTTCGAGTTTCTTAAGAGCAAGCTCATATTCTTTTTTGAGTTCATGTTTTTTAGYGAYATTCAAAAGTTCTTKGAATTGGTTGAATTTGATCGTAYATCTCTCGGTGACCATATTGTTCTTAATCAGAATTTCCAATAGTTCAGATGAATTGAGGGAACATGACTTGTAAACATGTACACCAACCTGTTTATTCACATGTGATATCTGTATAGATAATAATGCACTTTTTGCACTGTCTTTCAATTCCTCTGCAATCTTTAGACTTTCAGTCAAGTAATCGTGTGCTTTTGCATAGTGAGACTTAAACAAGTAAGCTGATCCAGCAATGTGTAGGGCCTGCTGTAACACAGCATTGATATCCTCCGATGGTTCATCGCATTGTTTGACCAATTTGATAGCTTGCTCGCAATAAAAGAGTGATTTTTCTTCAGTTTGGATTTCTAGATATGCTTGTCCAAGATCTGAAAGAATCTCACATACGTAGGAATCGACTTTGATTGGAATCTTGTAACACTTCTTCCCATCAATAACTGCATCGTCATACTGGTCTGGATTGTCTAATAGGTCTGCTAAAACAAACACGGAATCTTCTCCAGAACCTCCTTCGGGATGGACTTGTATCGTCTGTGCAACGTCAAAGTATTCCCTTGCATATTTAATGACGTGATCGTGTCGCGCGAGTATCCCACACGAGTTGATCAGCAAACAGTACTCTTCTGGTAGACCATCATTGAGGTTGATTTCCTTCGCAAGACAGATACATTTCTTTGCACAGATTACAACCTGATCGTATTGATTTAATTTGTAATAGATTCTTGCTAACGAATGGTATTGATGAACCAGTGCACGGTTATCATTTATTTCTACAGCAATATCAATCATTCTTTGTATGCAAGGAATGGCATCTTCATGCTGCTCCAATAACGATTCGTAAGCATTCGCAATGAGAAGATTTGCATCATGTTCAATACCCTTTAACTTGATGCTAGCTGAGAGTAGGAAAGCTATTGATAGTAATACAATTTTTGATTCTTGGTCATATAACGCAATACCTGTTTCTCCAACAATCAAGCGTGTACAAACTTCATAACGTTCCCTCTGAACCAAAGCCAGTTTTCYCGCATATTGCAGCATTTCGTTTGCGTACAGCAAKACATTATCATTATTTCCTAGTTCTTTATTCCTGTGTGCTGCCAAACGACAAACGAGAATGCAAACATTGTGATCATGATGGAATTTCGCTACTTGCAGACATTCATTAAACAGACAAACAAGCTTTTCAGCTGACAGTCCAAGGTCGACGTAACCACCAGCATTCGCACAAAACACTACAAATGGTCTGACAATAGCCTGGTGAAGATGTTCTGTATCCATTGGATGTCCTTCACGATGATACAGCAGGATTTGATTTCGAAAAGACACCAGCCTGATATGACATTTCAACCGCGATCAGTGTTATGGTAATCTTGATATCTTATTCTTTAACCAACATCTTGAAATTTTGTTATTCGTTGATCAAAGCCGTGTCCATTTCTTAAAACTAAAAAATGAAAATGCATTGAAGTTGAATAATTTTAATAATTTTATTTTTTTTTAGATTTTAAAAAACCTGGGTGTGGCAGCACTGAAATTTCACCCCCAAGAGGGACCAATCAATAAACGGCTATTTTGTTTTCGTTTGCGATTTTATTTGTGTTTTTGCACAAGCATCAAACGCCGTCGGCTCGTATTGAGTTTATGACGACGTTGTCATATACAAATATATAGGGCCGTCGTATACCCTAAAAGGGACCACAAAACTCTTTTGGTGGGAATTCTCGTCATTATCACCCTAAGCGGGACCAAAACAATGATTTCAAATCCTAAAAGGGACGACGACGAAGATCCCTGCCCTTTTATAACTTACTGACGTTTCGGACGTTAATCCTTCGTCGGGGTAAAGAGATGGAACTAGGTAAGTGTGTGTTATATAGTGTAAGAGTAGCAAATAAAGTAGACCAATAGGAGCAAGGTAGACATGGTTACACAAGAAATAAACAAAAAAAGAGAAGTGTTAGCCAAAAGAACAATAAAGGTGCTAAAGAGGGAACAAAGGATATAAAGCTTATCTGAAAACACAGTGTTCATTCAACCCATGGGGATTATAAGTGAATACTTTATGCTACTGCGTTAGCTCCAAAAGCGTCGCTGTTTGAGTTAGGGACTGCGCAATATTTATAGGGAAGGGGGAGTGTTGAGAATCCAGAGGGGGGAGGGGGCAACGTCTAAAATTAACTAGAACTTCAATTAGAAACTGAAAAATCAACAATGTCAGATTTGAAAACCTCTCAAGAAAAGCGCACCACGATTTGCGACAACTATTTATTCACGAATAATAAATAAATAAATTCAGAGCGTAAACTATTTCATTTGCGAAACTAGTTTTCACTATTCTTGGTAATCTTTGGCCAGTACGTACGAAAATTGTATTACAAATTTATTTGCATTTGAAGATTTTAATGGAATTACTAAGGCCACTGAGACATTCCGACTTCAACACTAAAACAGATCTCTGATCTCACCAACCTCGTTACTACCCTGAGGTATAGAGAGAAACATGTTGTAATATAACATATAGGAATAAAACTTGATCTTAACCAATCAGAGTGTTCGCGTTTCAACTTAGTATACCTCAGTTTCCACGTACTTTAATATACTGACTTGCTTACCCTTTGCATTCATTACACGACTAATAACTCAAAAAAGTCGAGCAATTTACAGAGGAACTTCATAGCGGTAATACGGGCAACAAAAGCGTCCAACTTGTCTCGCAACATTGATGCAAAACGAGTTGGAAAGCGATGTTGCTCGTTTTTCTACGCGCGTACCAACTTGTCTCGCGTCAAAATGGCTCGTTGCAAGTTGAGTTGAATTCTGATTGGTCGATACCGTCAGGTGATAGTAAACAAACATGGCGGCCGACAGGAAGCGAGCTGTTGCCGCNTACAGGGATAATCTCAACTCGGGGAAAATGCAAATTTTAAATTCTATTGTAATAACGACATTTTTTCGTGCTCTCTTTTGTGTTTGTAAAGTTATTGCGCAAGAGAATCTGTTGTCAAATAAAGCAGCGGTTATTCGCTATGAATTCGAAACTGGAGTATTGTAGTAAGTGTACGACACAAGTATAGTAAGTTTACTAACTTTATAATTCTCTTTGTAATTGGTGTCCTTGAAAATTAAATTGAAAATTAATCCTTGAAAAGTCCTTGAATTTTGTATAAACTGGAAGCCCTTAGAGCATGAAGTCGGGCTAGCCTCAACTCGGGGAAAATGTAGATTCTTAGCGCTCTATTGTATTAACAACATTTTCYYGTGCTTTCTTTTGTCTTTGGTAAGTTCTTTGCGTAATAGAATCTGCTGTCAAGTAAAACAGCGGTTATTCGCTTTGAATTCGAAACTGGAGTATTGTGTCTTACCAAACACAACGATAAGAACATTAAAGGTCAACTTTGTTTGAGAATCAATCTTTTGGCCGCCATATTGCACAATGGTACAATAGATATCGCAAAAAGGATTGAATTCTTGTCATTTTGCTTCAAAGCTGGGCTAAATTGATACCTAAAATATTACTATATAATAAGCAAGACTTATTCAAGGACTTATCACTTTTCAAGGACCTTTCCTCCAAATTCAAGGACTTTTCAAGGAAAATTCAAAAAATTGAAAATTTGTAACCAAGGACTTTTCAAGACTGTACGAACCCTGGCGTACTCACGTTTACCTTCSGYAYYCCTTCCTTCCTTCCGTCGTGTATCACCACAGGAAATCCATACTCCGCGCAAAAAGGAAAAAAAGAAGCGCCAAAATAAGGATTTGATGAAACATCGCAATTTTTTCATGAAAGATTTCCCTTTCGAATTGATAATATTATTAAAAATTTTATAAACACGTTGAAATAAATTCCATTAGTAAACAAAGGGTCTGAATAAAAGACAGGTATGAGTCATATACATTTTTTTACAATTAAATTTTATCTTTGTCACAAATTTTGACATTATAATGTGCAGTCAAGTTTGTGTTGTCAGGGCAGCTATGAATTTCGCCAGCAGGAAGTGAATTCAACCGTTATGATAACTTTCCAGAAGATTTCAACATGAATATTTTACTATGAACCAACTGCTTACGTAGCCAGGAGTTCCTAGCCGCTCCAAGAGAGTTTATGCCGGAGAAACTTGCCTAACGATTGCTATAGTATGAAATAATTAGAGGGAGGGGTAGTTGAAATTGACCCTCGTTTCATATTTCAGGATATCGACCAAAATTTGCATAATTCTCAGTAGATGGATGAAGCGAAAAACTATTTAAGTAATGACCCGAGTAAGAACTAGGGAAGCAAACGGCACAGGAATGCAAGAAGGTGCTAATTGCGCATTGTATAATCCATCCATCCTATTGGTTAAAACATGAAAATCTGCTATAATTTCACAAGTTAGCGAATTTTCTAATATTTTATTTAATGTCTGTTTTCGCTTTCATGAAAGCTTTCTT